TTTCAAGTCAAAAACATTTAAATAGATCACAGCTTACTTGTTTTTGTTAAAAAAAAAAAAACTCACATTTTTTGAAGTCAAAATGTCTTATAAAACGTTTGCGATAATTATTACCTGATTCTTCTACCCAAATATCCCTTTGAATCAGAATACTTTATAGTAGTAAGTACAAGTATCAAAAGAGGTCAAAAGAGTTATCTGGGTACACTTTACGGCCCATACTGTTTTGAAATCGATTAGAAGCAGGTGTCATATGCTAAGAGCCCCTTGCATATAGTAAACAATGCATATCTATAGGATAAATACCTGGAATTTTGATTATCTTATATTGATAGTACTGATCTTGTACTTAAAAGTCAAATAAACTGTATATACTTAGAATTTGCTACATATGGATCAGAAGGAAATAACTTTAACTTAAAGCCCAGTACTGAGATCTATGGGTAAAAACTGTCAAGTTCTTGGTGATCGGGGCTTCTCATCTTTAAATGCCCCAGAATGCCTAACTTATACCTAAACAATAGGTGTTAAATGTTTATTGAAATAAATTACAATGTGAAGAATATTAGGAGATCCTGATACAGCACAAATTAAATTTTTTAATACTTTGGAAATAGATCCACTTAATTTCTTTTTGATAAGTACTAAACCCATTTAACTCCAACTGGATCTTTATTTCTAATGTACTTGCTCTTTGAAATGTAAAGAGGATGCAAGGAGACTGTACTTGAAATATATACTTGAAATAAAATGGTTTATATAGAAGCAATCAAAATATGACTTTAGCCAAGCGTGGTGACTCAGGCCTGTAATCCCAGCACTTTGGGAGGCAAAGGCGGGAGGATTGCCTGAGCCCAGGGTTTTGAGACCAACTTGGGCAACTTGGCGAGACCTTGTCTCTACAATAAATAAAAAAATTAGCTGAGTGTGGTGGTGTTCACCTGTAGTCCCAGCTACTCAAGAGGCTGCTGTGGAAGGATTGCCTCAGCCTAGCAGGTGGAGGCTGCAGTAGCAATGACCATGCCATTGCACTCCAACCTGGGTGACAGAGTGAGACTCTGACTAAAAAAAATATATATGATTTTATATACACTGGGTCCTGGGTACAGTACCTTGGCTCCACTGATGCCAAGTTTATTTTCTACTAGGGAGGGATTCAAAAGACAATCATTTATGTATTTTTAGATGTAGGGATGGACAAGTGGTCTATGGTGATTTTTGGAGGTGACTGCCTTATGCAAGTGACCATCACCCACTTCCTCAAAACTAGTAACAAATGAAGTACCACCAACATTTTTTATTTACATAAGGCCAATTGCTGGGGAAGGAGGATGGAGGTTTATGAATCTCTTATCTTGTTGATTTGTTAGCAGACAATGTTGGAGAACAAACAAAAATACAGCTTAGCAGCTGATCCTGCTACACACCAAAGATCTAAAAAGCAGAGTCTTGCACTGACATGAAAAATTTGCAGCAAAGGGCTGACTTTGTGCAGATCAGTAACTTTTGCTTTTTGAAATAGAGTCTTCATCGGCTTCAATCTCAGTCGACTGGATGCAGGTTGATGCTGGGTAATTTGATGGCAAGTCACACTTAAGTTCCATTTCAGGAACTTTAAATATTCTTTAAATATGACTGCTTGGGATTTGGTTGCTGGGAGTGGAAATAAGGAAATATTTTGGTTTCTATACAACTAAATAGCAAAGTTGAAATGCTGGACCAAGTTAGGAATCTGGAAAAGATTCATCAGCAAACTCAGCATTCCATAAAGAAATGAGGAGATAAGGACATAAGATTACATAAAGCTAAATGAAGCAATACACCTACTTACAAAGTATCAACTATTACCTTTAAGAGGTATTTCATAAGAGGAAATGACAAAAACACAATCATTAGGTACACAGATAAAACAGGATCCCTTTGTGAGGATGGGGCCACAATTTAGAGAGACAAATGGATTTTGTGGGAGAGTAAAGTTACTTTTGAAAAGATAAACTTGGCCAGGTGTGGTGGTTCACACCTGTAATTCCAGCAATTTGGGAGGCGGAGGCAAGAAGATTGCCTAAGCCCAGGGGCTCAAGACTAGCCTGGGCAATTTGGCAAGACCTCATCTCTACAATAAATCGAAAAATTAGTCAGGTGTGATGGCACATGCCTACAGTTCCAGCTACTTGGAAGGCTGAGGCAGAAGGATCACCTGAATCCAGCAGGTCGAGGCTGGGTGGCCATGAGCATGTCACAGCACTTCAGCAGCAACAGAGTGAGACTCTGACAAAACAAAGAAAGAAAAGAAAGAAAAGAAAGAAAAGAAAGGAAGGAAGGAAGGAAGGATAAACCCTTTCTCCAAAAAACATGTAGTAAATAATCTGACAAACCAGAGGTCACACAATTTAGATACAGGAAAAGCTGAACACCATTATTCTACTTCATTGATTTGATTACTTTTAAAGCTTCAGTTTCTTTTGTGAATAGTCAGAGATTTCCTGGGTGCAATAGTCTACTCAGGCACCATTTTTGGAGAATTACTGGAGGTGACATCATTGGTTTAAAACTGTAACCAGCTGGGTGTGGTGGCTCACATCTGTAATCAGCACTTTGAGAGGTGGAAGCAAGAGGATTGCCTGAGGCCAGGGGTTTGAGACCAACCTGGGTAACTTGGTGAGACCTCGTCTCTACAATAAAAAAATTAGCCAGGCATGGTGGCGTGTACCTGTGGAGCCAGCTACTTGGAAGGCTGAGACAGAAGGAACACCTGAGCCCAGCAGGTTGGGCCTGCGGTGGCCATGAGCAGCATGCCACTGCACTCCAGCCTGGGCAACAGTGAGACTCTGACTCAAAAAAAAACCCCCCCCCCCAAAAAAAAACTGTAACCAAAATTATACATGCTATTCTGATTTTAATAAACAACTCTAAGAGATTGAAGAATGAGACTGTTTTACAAAAAGCAAATGATGTAGCAAATGTCCAACCAACAATGGACATAAGCAACTAATCCACTAGCAGGGGAACCTGGGATGGCACTGTATTCTCAACCAGATTATTTAACTGTCTCCATTAGTGGAAGAGGGTAGGCAGAAATCCTCCTAACAATTAGTCTGGGTTTAAAACTTCAATAAAAACAACTAATCATTTTGACATGTTTAATACCACTTTAGTAGTCCAAGAGGCAAAAATTTGGTCAAAATGAATCAAACATTAAAAAAAAAACCAGGTCAAATATAGACAGAGTGTACTCATTTTATAACTGTGATCAACTATAGTGCTCAACTATTATAAACAACAAATAACCCAGAAAATAGCTCTATAGAAGAAAAGAAATGGTGGATTTAAGGAAAGGTATACAGAAATAATGAGAAATAAACAAACAAATACATGAAGGAAAGAGGGAAAGGAACATACACAGACAGATAATTAGACAGCCAGCCATGGAAGTAATGAATGTGATAGAAGAGCACTGGCCTTGACTCTAGATAAGAGCTGTGTACTAAAGCAATTAACTTGATCCTTCTAAAACTCAGTCTCATCACTGCACACAACATTGTGAGCCTAGCACTAAATTACCTGCATGGTCCCCAGTTCCAAAATGCTAAGAGTTTATTGGGGCTGAGGGAGGGAAGGAAGGAAGGAATTCAGTGGCTGCAAAATCTGGAAGAAAGTAAATTTTAAGTTTTGCCCTGGTCTTTGCAGTTGAAATACTGCTGGTCTGATATCATACTTGGAGAAACAATGTCCAAGAGAATAAGCAGCAGAGGGCAAACAAACATGGCTATATGGGGGAAAAAAGCTGGCGAGAGACTTCTCTTATTTCTTGGGGGAAAAAGGATTAACTCTAAGATAGCTAATAAATGCTGAAATAAATAGCTTGTTTCCTCTGCTGACAAAAGCTTAATAACTGAACAGCTATCTCACATAACTGTTTACAATATTGATTGGGTATTATACTTGCCAAATTCTTCAGAACCTTCAAAACTATATACATTGAAATGTTCATGCAAAACTATGATCATAAGCTGGAACTTCTATTTATACATCCTAACCATCATAGAATAGTTATTATTTGATTTTTTGAAAAAGAAAATCCACACTAACAATTAAAAGAACTGTAAGAACTTTTCCTTACAGAATGATGTTTCAGAAGTGAATTTTTCAGATAATGTAATTTTAAACAGAAAACATGACCATAACAAAAGCCTTCCTTCATTACTCACTGTCACAACACACATAACAGAGTAAGTTCTGTAATGAACACTACCACCAGTGTCGATCAGAGCTGTATAAAACCACTGACTCCAACACTGAGTGGGTTCAGAGTTCTGTAGGCTTGCCATTTCTTCCATCTTGCTCATCTCAGTCCCACCTGAGCTATTAGCTATTAATATTTCTCATTGTGTTTACCTCCAAGTTGCATGTTGAACTGGTATACTTTCCCCACTTGGAACTTCCAGTAACTCTACAGTAAGGAGTATGTTTATGGGTTTTAAGAGGCTATTTTTCAGAGATGACTTTTTCTGTTTGGTTATATATTTACTTTCAGAGTTTCAGGTTGGTCTATGGATGGCTGAGTTCTTGCTGGCAGGAAGGAAGTGGGGTACTATTAAATTTTATGTGTGTGTATGAGTGTTTTGAATACAGTATGCTGTATCAGAGACACAGAAGCCCTTGGGGCAATGTTAGTATATCTAGTAAAGGAATTATAGTTCTGTTCACTTACAGAGTAAAGTGGCTTTGGTTGCTCTTCTTGTCTAAACTCCAAAAACTTATCAACATTGGAGTACTATGTAGACATTTTAACATTTCACTGTCTTATGTACATCTTGTTTGAAAGTAAAAAGTTTTATAGAATTACAAAATTCAAGTCAGCTACAAGGTAAAGAAGAAATATAAGGTGAATCTCATGAGGAAAAGGAGCAAAATCTGCAATAAACTGATCAAAAGGGAATTCCTAATGTTGGTATCTTAATATTATCACTCAAAGTCATATGAAGATCATATTTACTGACCTGGGGAATGCTGGGAAGTTGCAAGTGAGGTCATGGAATTAGAGAGGTTAAGGTTGGCAGTGATACTAAGCTGGCTCTGCAGTGCAGGAGGGTAAGGAGATGTGGGTGTCAGGAGGGACTCCTCACTGGTTTCTTCATCAATTCCAGGCAAGTACGTGTCAATCAAGGCATCAAGAAACTTAACAATAAGCTCAGCATAGTCTGGAATTTGTGTTTGCTGTAATGGAAAATAGGAAATTATTTTAGCTCCTTAAAAAAAAAAAATCCCCTCTGAAGCCAAAAAAGATTGATTCAATTTTTGTTTTGGGCTTAATTTACTATTTTTCTTGCTTTGTTTCTATTACTTATCCTTTAAAAGAGGAGGGGAGTAATATTTATAGGCTACTATAGGACTTACAACAGGGAATTTTATTCAGCCTACACTTAAAGCTTCCAGATGAGCCTGCAATTTCTGAACGCCATGCATAAGACAGACTGGATTTAATACTGAGACAATACAATCATCAGGAATGATGTCGAGCCAATTTTCCAAAACAAAGAAAATGAGCAGAGCATCATCATTCCAGACACCGTGAGGGGCGCAGAGGGTTACTGCCAATTCAACTGCAAACACTCCTGTTATGATATACTTATTTCTGTGATTCAGGCCTACTTTTTTTAATGACAACCTTTGCATGTCAGCAGATATTCAGTAATAGTGAAATGAAATACCCAATTCTTGAAATTTGAACAAGGTTTAGATAATTCATATTGGTTTAGCACCCCCCGTATCTAGAACACTGCCCTAGAAACTGCTCAGGGAAGAAATAGAAGTCCTGCCTTCAAGGAACTTAAATCACTTTGGAGAGAGACCAGATACAGAGAAAATAATTAAACATGTGTTATGTATGTAGCACCGTATCTGCTAATGCCAATCAAGGAACAAAGTGAACAGGAGTAAATGAGGATAAATCCAGAGAAGAATGCATCTGATCCAACAGGCTGGAAGTAAAAGTGTTTTCACGAAATAGATTTTAACCATGGGTAATGCTCCTTGCTACTCGAACACACAAGGAACTAAGAACAGAAAAGTTTCACAGAAGTTCATCACACCCTTCTGGAAAGTTGAGCATCAATTGAGGATTTTTGTTGTTGTTGTTGTAATAATGACTATACAAACATATTAAAGGTGCTGCCTCTTAGAAAAAATTTTGTGGTGAAAACTTTTAATAAAAACAACACATTTATTGTGGTCACTATTCTGTTTCTCAGCATATTATGTGTTCTTAAAGCAGGCACACAAATATGGACAAAAACTTTTGTTATGTCAAAAGTTAGAGAGGAATGTATTTTCTTACCTTTGAAAAGGGTCCTGCAAACCGCCACAAGCCATTAAAACCAAAACCTGCAACAAATCAAATGTTACTCTGTAACAAGCGATACATCTTTTAATTGTAACAGAAATTAAGTAAGTTGCATAGTTAATGATATATAAAACCTATGCACACACTAAAACATTATTATTCTTATTTATTTTTTTGGCGACAAGTTCTCACTGTTACCCAGGTTAGAGCATAGTCTTGAACTCTGGAGCTCAAGCATTCCTCCCACCTTAGTTTCCCAAATAGTTGGGATTACAGGTATGCCCCACCACATCTGGCTAATTAAAAAAAATTTTTTTTGTAGAGATGAGGCCTCACTACGTTGCCCAGGTCAGTCTAAGCAATCTTCTCACCTTAGTCTCCCAAGGCACTGGGATTCAAACACTTTATTTATTTTTAAATTGATTTTTTTTTCAGTCGAAGTTTTACTCTGTCGCCCAGGCTAGAGTATAGTGGCATGCTCACGGTCATCATAGCCTCCATCTAGTGGGCTCAGACAATCCTTCTGCCTCAGCCTTCCAGGTAGCTGGAACTACAAGTACATGCCACCACGACTGGCTAATTTTTTTTTTTAATTGTAGAGACCAGTTGTCCAGACTGGTCTTGAATCCCTAGGCTCAGGCAATCCTTCAAAGTACTAGAATTACAGGAAGAAGCCACTGTGCCTGGCTAAAACACTTTTAAAAAGAATCAGTGCCAAAGCAGACTAAAACTTACTTAAAATATACTCAGTATAAAACCAGATTTTAATAAAAAAAAAAGCTGTCAACCAGTTATACTGCACACATAATTAAGAGAGTCAGAAAATGGCATACAGAAAGAAAAGTGTGAACAAGGCTATCCCTTATAAATAATTCTGAAGTCAATGCATGCTCCAACAGCGTACAAGTTAGCAAGTTCACCAACCACCTTCTCCCGACACATTTATTTACTTTGCAGATAAGATGTCTGGTATTGTGGTGGGGATTCTTCATGGTAGACCACACTCTGCACAATTCCATGAATTGGATTTAACAAATTTGGATCTTGGCACAAGGACAGCAGGGTATTGATCTTAGAGTCCAACAAATTGTGCCTAAAAAAAATTAGATGTCAACAGAGGAACATTTTAGCAGAAAACTAAATGAAAATGAATACTGGAAAACATAATATATATTCCCAGAACAATATGCCAAAATTGCTTTTTACTTTCTGATGCATTTCTACATTTTCCAAATTTTCTATAATGAACATGTGTGTATGTTTGCTTTTTGGATTTGTCTTTTGTTTTGTTTTTAGTCATCAGAGAAAATATGATACAAACAACTAGTCATGTCAAGTAGCCACATTTAACTATAGATGGTAAAAATGACAGGCCTAACTCTATAAAATTCTAAATTTAAAAAAAAGATTAACAATAAAAAAGGAAAAGAATCACATGATATAGAAGGCCTACATTAGGAATAGAATTTCTCAAGTTTCTTTGGGTTATTTAAATTTGAAAACTTTGAGACTAATATTATTTTAGCCCTTATGAAAGAATAAGATGCTCTTCACAAACACTAGTCTTAGCCTCCACTTAAACCCATGATTTCAAAGCTAAAATCACTCTCACGCTCTCTCACTTCCCCCTCTTTGCAACCAGTGCATGTTACTAGGTAATACTTTTCCTAAGCTTTTTTTTTTTTGAGTTGGAGTCTCACTCTGTCACCCTGACTGGAGTGCAGTGGCTGCTCCCGGCCACCGCAGCCTCAACCTGCCAGGCTCTGGCGATCCTTCCGTAGCTGGAACTACAGGCACGTGCTACCACGCCCGGCTAATTTTTGATTTATTGTAGAG